CCCGGCCGGCCCGAGCCGCGATCCCCCGGCACCTGCCTGCTGCCCCCGGACCGGAGCTGGGCCAAATCCAGCCCGACGGATCCGCGCTGTTTCTGAAGCGGGGACGGGGCAGAGCATCGCCGGAGGTGTCGGGCGCGGGGCTGGGCTGTTCCTCTGCTCCCGGGGCCGTCAGGCAGGGAGGGACGCCCTGGGTCCCGCTCCTCTTCTCCGGACCCAGCGCGTCCACTTTCACCCGACAGACACCGCCTGGGCTCGCGGGGCTTGCCCGGGGCTGCCATCGACCTCGGCTTTCGGGACAAGAACAGCCACGCTGCCGCCTCCGGCTCCAGGTGAGACCGGAGCAGAGAACGGGCACAGCTGCAAAAAACCTTCGGGCTGGGCGGCCTCAGCGCCCTGCAGCGACCCGAGCAGAGCTGCGGCAGGGGATGGATTTTATTCTGTCCCTTTCACTCCCACCGCAGAGAAGACGTAAAGCTGCTGCTGGCCAAGTGTGGGAGCTGAGCATACCCGAAGGGCCCCGAATGGCCGGATTATTGCCCAAAGCCCTGCTTCTTGAGGAGGAAATGGTGCCCGGGGCGAGGGGTTCATCTCCGCGCTCCCGGGAGCTGTGTGCTGACCACCTGCCCTTCTCCCGCTCGGCCGAGCTCTCACGCGACCTCTCCCGTGCCCCTGGGGAGCGATGCAGAGGCAGGCAGCGGGGTGCAAAGTGCTGCCCACTCACTGCCAGCCCAGCCCCGCTGGTTACCAAGGAAATCCATAATGCTGTGTTGGGGCGTCGCTTGTCTCAGTCCCGGAGGCGATCCCTCTGGCAGAAGGTCCGAGCCCATTTGGAGCGAACGGCCTCAGCGAGGGGAAGCAGCTTCCCTGGGGAGCATCCTCTGCCTCCGCCAGCATCCTCTCTGCTCTGAACCGGAGAGGAAAGGTAGCCGGGTGCAGCATGCCTGTGCCAGACGTGCCCAGCAGAGCCTTACCTGAGGACCCATGGCTGGGGCACTTCTCCTCGCTGCCGCCGTACACCAAGGTTCCTGGCCCAGCAACCAGATCGGGGTGACCTCACGGTCTGGAGCAGAGGGAGCTGGGGGAGCCCTGCTCCTCCCACCCGATCCGGGCTGGCGCGGAGGAACCCAGGCAGGCGGTGCTGCCGCGGGTGCGATGCCAGCAATGCTGGCGCTCCCTGCTCCCCCTGGCACGCCCGGGCCTGGCCCAGGCACTGGGGAGCAGCGGGGCTGGGCAGGGGCTCAGCTGCGCCTGGGGACCTGTTCTGCGGCGGTATTCATCTGCGCAGCCGCTTGACATGAACTGGCCAACGAGGGCTGCATGCTGGTGGGCAGCCCCATCTCCCCGGGGTCTTTGCTTTCGTGTCAGACAGCGGCTCCCCAAAGCTCCCACCTGTGTCCCCCATGCCCTGGTGCCTGGGTCAGGCTGCCATGGGTGTCAGTCCCGGTATTTTTGACGTTACATTGCCGAATTCGAACTTGGGAGTTCCTGATTCCTCTGGCAGTAACTAGGCCGTTCTCAAACCACTAACACACAAAAGCGTGTGCACAGGCTCTGTGCTGTGGTCCTGATGGTGCTGCGAGCCCCGGCTTGTGCAGACCTGACGGGCCACCACTGGGCAGCTCTTCCCTTCCACGCGAGCGGCTCAGCTCCCCCGGCTCCTGCTTTGCAGCCCCGCTGGAAGCGTGGTGGCAGGGCTCCGGTGGGCATCTCCAGCGGGAGGTGCCCCGGGGTCCAGGTGCCGGAGTGCAACAATGCTCTCGGGAGGGGGAAGAAGGCAGCAAGAGCAGTTATGAAGGAGCAGTCTTCCCTCCATAGCCTGTGCTGGTTCGTTACCTGCAGGAGCTGCTCTTGCATCTCTTTCCATTTCTGGAACCGGCTGGGTCACGCTGCAGGTCCTTTCCCACCCACTGCCGGTGCCCCGTCAGCTCCGGTGTCACTGCTGGGCACCCCTGCAGTGCCAAACTTGGCACCGCTGTCCCCTCGATTCCTGTCCTTCGTTCCTAGATCACCCTCTGCGTTTCTCAGGATACCATGAGCTCATCAAATATTTCCTCCTTGATTCTTCTTTTCCTCACCTTCCTAAACTTTTGCTAGCCTGGTCTGGATTTGGATCCTTTAATAGCAATTTCTGTAAGGCAAAAAACCCCAGGTGATGATTCTGTCTCTGTAACAGGGAAGATGAGGTGTTTTCAGCCCTGCAGGTTGAAGTGCTATCTCTAGAGTCTTTTCCCATTCCTGGGGGTGTTTGGGGAACTGTAATTCCTCCTGTGCTTTTGGAGACAGGATGTGGTAGCACAGATTTGGAACAGCTGCATGCATCCCCACAAACGATACTGTTAACAGCGGGCAGATTTATGTGGCTCTTAAGTTGTATTTGTCGTACGAGAATGGGACGGGACCGTGGTGCTACCAGGGCACGATGGCGGTGACGTGGAAGCAGGGTGTGCCTGCTCAGAGCTGGCCGGTGAAGCCGAGCACCTCAGCAGGCACCCTGAACAGCAAAGAGGGTATTTCTGACCTTGCAGCAAAGCAGCAAAAGTTGCAGATGCAGACGGATGTGATTAGGTGGGGAAGACCCGACCCGGGTTTGGCTGGGAGCACAGGAGCGCTGGAAGCCGGGGGAGCGCCGGTCTCCTCCATATGCGTCAGTTACCGGGCACAGGCGTTACGAGGGGCGGCTGGGGGAGCTGGGGGGGCTCAGCCTGGAGAAGAGGAGGCTGAGGGGAGCCCTCATC